AAGTTTCAAAGTCTTCTTCCACTTCAGGTAGATTATCCTTCACTTGAGTTCTTCTTTTTTCGCCGTCGCAAGATTTCATATCGGTTGAATATTTCTTTTAAATGTGAAGTGAAGCAACCTTTACTTCTCCGAAAATCGTCTTCTTTATCTTAGTTTCTATCTCCTGCATTTACAGTGGCCGCTCAACACATCAAATACAAGCTCTTAGGTAAACTTCTCACGTAATTAGAAAAAATTCCTCGCGCCGCCATCTTTGTTTTAAATTTTCGTCTTTTAATCTCGCGCTTCTTTCGCACGTTTCTCTCGCGCGTGACGCAAGAGTTATCTGTTCCCCGCGCGAGGAAACTAGTACGAGCCACCTTAAGTAGGGAGTTTTCGTTCTGATGTGAAAGTTACTTACCAAGCTGTCACTGCATCTCCACATGTCGTTAGGGGTGAGCCATAAGAATAGTAAAGGTTTTCTCCTTCGCCAGTGTTATATTCGTGCTCAAATTTATCATTGGAGGCCAAATACTTAGCCCATTTTTCAGCATGCTTAGCTAGTGTTTCATTCCACTTCAGCGGCGGAGTTCCACTGTGACGTGCTCGTTCTGCATTATGGGCTTGCAGGCAGGCGTCCGGGTCCACTAGGTGGGCAGACAAAAGCATAGATGATTTGAATACTATCAAAATGAAAATGATCAAAGATGTCAAAGTCACTTGACATGAGCATGGGAATAAACAACATTATGACCACTGCATGATGGTCTTACACAGAGTTATGCAGAGTTATGCAAGACTAAGAAATTATAGAATGTTTATAATCTTTTGACAGTCAATTACAAGACACAATTTTGGGCTATAGTTACTTTTAAATATAGACCGGTCTAGAAAAAAAGGTACAATGAATATAAAAAATTGGAATATAAGACACAGCCATATAATAAACATCTTATTAACCGAGCTAGGTCGGTCTGTATGGGAGAGAATCTTGACCTCGGTCGCTGGTAAAGACCTCACTACATTCCCTCTGAACTGGCGACTTCGGTCAAGATTCTCCCATACAGACCTCCCGCTCAGTTAATAAGAACTAAATAATAATTCTTTTTTTACGCCATTTTACCGTATTAAGGAAGCAAAACGAACAATATAAGTGACGGTACTATAATGTTAAACAAGGCGAAAATAAAATACTGATTGAAAGCGATGCGAAACTGAGATGGTCTCTCTGAACGATCCAAACGTAATTTGTTTTACCGTTTTTAAGGCTTGATGTTTTAGACAACGAACTTCTAAGCGCATCAGATATATATTGTTTGGTTATAGAAAACATTAAAGTGGTTCTCTTTGTGTTGTTTAGTCTTTCGCGGCCGCTCTCTGCATTTGATTCTATGCTTAAATAATGCTGAAGGATCATTGCGAACGGTGGAAGGCTGAGTGGTTTCCGTGGTTCAGCACTGTTTTGTGATGGAGAAAGCAAGTTGCTCGACGAGTCCAAACAGCGGCTGGGAAGGATCTTGAGTAATAATTTCTCTAGAAAATATGCGGTTTAAATATCTTACGAGATTCGATTTGATCTTACCTTTTGGAGGTGGTGTGGGTTGCGCTGAAAAAAGAAAAAAAGAGTTGATTAATTCAAGGCCTCTGTAACATTTTGACATCAGTTGTTTATGAGTCTGTGATCTAATCCTAGTCAATAACGACACTTGTTGAAAGAAGAGATCTTAGTAACGGCACAACGATGTAAACAAGGCAAAAATACTGATGGAAAGCGGAGCGACAAGATGGTCTCTCTGAAAGATCCAAACGTAATTTGTTTTATCGTTTTTAGGCTTGATTTTTTAAGCAACGAACTTCTAATCGCATGAGATATATAATGTTTGGTTTTAGAAAACATTAACGCAGTTCTCTTGGTGTTGTTTTGTCTTTCGCACCCGCTCTATGCAATCGATTTATGCTTAAAAAAAATGCTGAGGATTATTGCGAAACTAGAGACTGAAGTAACAGAGAGTATATATTAAGAGCCATGAATTCCAAACAGATGGAAGGCTGAGTGTTTTCAGTGGTTCAGCACTGTTTTGTGATGGAGAAAGCGAGTTGCTCGACGAGTCTAAACATCGGCTGTGAAGGACCTTGAGTTATAATTTCTCTAGAACATATGCGGTTTAAATATCTTACGAGACTCGATTTGATCTTACCTTGTGGAGGTGGTGCTGAAAAAAAGAAAAAAAGCTGATTAATTCAAGGCCTCTGTAACATTTTGACGTTAGTTGTCTATGAGTCTGTGATCTAATTCTAGTCGATAACGACGCTCAGGCTGTTGAATGGAGAGATGTCAGTTTGGAGGCTGGAGGCCTTCCTCTTAGAAATAGGCAAATGGGGATGTGCCACTGGATGAGGCTGCATTTCTGACTGGATCGTTTATAATGAGGTTCCATTTTCACTGGAGGCTAAAAAAGAGCTTGCAAATTCTCGAGATTTTGAAGGAAATTGTAGTAAACAACTCGTTTCAATATTTTACGAAAGTTTCTCTTGGAAATCATAGTTTAAATAGTAGTGCTTTGACGTAAAAATAAAATTGCAAAAAAATTGGCCTCTATAGAAAAGCAAAAAAGAAAAAGCTGCTATGATCCTAAAAAGTTTTGAGAGTAACCTTAAATTGGAATGTCGAGGGTAATCAGCGACAACATTGGTTTAGCTATCCCTCGATGTGTAATTGGTTCGTGAAGTTGTCAAGAAATTCACGCTTATCTCTGAAGCAATTGAAAACAGAACTGATTGCAACTTGGTTGTCCGCTTTTTTACGTGCTCATGGTTGTTACTGACACGACCCAGCTTACTCTTAGCTAACAATTTTTAACTTTGAAATATCGACATTAGTTTTCAACGGCTCAATTGTGGTTTCTCCTAAAAAAAAAAAAAAAAGGCCACCAGGGCGAGACACTGGATGAGGCGACATTTTCAACCTTAGAATTACTATAATAGGGTTTCATTTCATTAGAGTGCAAGGCTACAATTGGATTGCACATTTTGGGATGATTTTGGGATGCATGAAATTATGGTAGGTAGGAATTTCAAATGGGAACATTTTCAGTAAAAAAAGAAACCACACAGAAGAAACTATAATGGGGTAAGGGTTCTAATAGGTCAGAAGTACCTACCTAACAAAAATTGACCCAAGTTCCCACTGGCCCCCCCTCCGGGATATAAGTGTTGGTGAGCTATCTTGTTGAGCAGGTACATTTAAACACAAATTAGAGTGGACTATTAGCTCTATTTCTATGCGCCGGAAATCTCGGATTTAGAGAACTTAAATCTAAATGTTAATCGACTTTCCAGAAAACATGATCCTGCCCCTTCCAAGGTCGTCCAAGTTTGAAAATTAAACTTATACATTAGAATTACCTTTTTTCGAATTTATCAAGCCCTCTACAGTCTAGTATCAGTATGCATATATTCTCCGCTCTATTCTATAGACATTTCCAATGGTTCTAACAAGGAGAATTTATTTAACAATCATGGGCATTTGTAGTTAGTGATCATCAGTCCGACATTCTTCTGACCTTAATGTTAGATTCCGAGGTGAAACTGTAAGGGGAAAGTCGATGCTAGTCAATCTTTGGGATTAAATCAAGGTTTTTAGGTTTCACTTACGTTCGCATAGGCCGCAGCTCTTTTGACACCTGGCTGACACGTACTCATAATATTGGTGTTGCCGCTCACAATATCCGCTTTCTTTCCAATGGGCACAACTTGAATCTTCCTCCAGCTGATCTTTGGTGCAGACTGAAAATTCAAATACAGCGGAATCCTTTATCACAAAAGCTGATGAAGATCAATGAAAATAGGTCAAAATATCCCACATTTTAATTGTAAACAAGGACAGTCTCACAGTGGTACAGCACATCAGGTTTATATACTGTGAGTTAGCTTTCCTTCAAGAAGAAAGAACCAGAAATTTCACAGTTTATGCCTTAGAAAATTGTCGGCGCCATCAAAATTGCTCGGTAAAAGACCCACTTTAACAAATGTATGGAGAGGGTTATTCTTGTATATGCCTAGGGTATTTTTCTACTTACCTGCTCTTTTTACGACATGTTTTAGTTTCATCTTCAGCCCTGGGGCACCATGGCAACCCACTTGGAATGTGATCAGAAACAGGCCTAGAACTAACTTATACATCGCTCGGGAATAGCTGTTTATAAGAAAAAACAAAAGACGCTCAGCACTTATCTACTATTACAAGTTTGACTTGATTTGGTTTCCTAACGGTTGAATGCCTTTATTCGGGCTAATTTCCTGTGTTGTGTTAGTCAAAACTAAAAGAAGTTTGTACTGTTTAAAATTCTAAAGAATTTAGTCAAAAATTTAAACTTATCTTGGCTGAATTAGTGAGTATGAGGGTGCAATTGTTCCAATCTGAAAGGGACGTAACTGCATTATCAGTGCTTTGGGACACTAAGGTGATCTAACATGATAATTGAATCGCGATTTGAGGAGAATCTCTCAACCGTTTGTGTTGTGATCATTTAAGTTCGAGAAATGAAGAATGAAGAACAGACTGTATTGATAGGATTCAAGTAAAACGTAAAATAGTAGCTCCTTTTGACTCTGCATTCTCAAAAAATTACTGCTACTTATTATAGTATTAGATAAAAATTTTTATACAAAGCCTACCCCACCAGTTCAGGGAAGGATGAAGACTCAGTTTTATCGCGAGCTCGACGAAATTGCACGCCTAATATCTCTTATTAATTAAATCTATATCTCGTTTACATATGCATATGTATACTAGCTTCAACCTGTTATCTTTCAATGAGGATGGTTTAATTTCTTAACAATCAAGTAAAACCTGCAGGGGCTTTACACGTGTAACAGTAATTACAATTTGTCCACTTCATTTCTCTTTGAATCGGTCAACGAAAGCTTCTTTTCTTAAAGAGCTCCTTAAACGCAAAACACGAAATCTTAATAAATGTTCAATCACCAACTTAAAGTTTCTTAGAAATTTTTTTCTTGGAAATGATATCGGCAGTTTTCTTTTGTCTTAAAGTGTGAATCTTGTCCTCTTGAGCAGCCGTTACCTCTAAGTTCTCACTGACAAACAGTAAGAAATATATAAACAAGACTGATCCTGAAAGTTTTATATTTCTGTTTAATTTAGTTCTCCAGATTGTATTTTTTTTCTGAAAGTTTTGTGTTCATACAAAGGGTTTTCATAACATGGCTATTTCAGGTTGGAAAATGAACTAGAAACAACTTCTCCTACAGGTGCCTTGCAAGACTTTTTTTGATTTTATTTCCTGGAAAATATTTCTTAAATCAATCGTTCGCGATAGAAAACTGTTCCGGTGAGATGAAAACTTCGCAAATCTAGTGAGGTATTAGTAGAGTGGAACCTCGATTTAATGAAATACCAAGGGATTGGAGAAATTGGTTAAGGGGGTACGTCATATCGAGGTTCTGTGACATACATTTTATAGTAACTTTAGCCGGGCTGAAACTGTAATATCGTTCGTCATACCGAGAACTACGTTATATAGAGGTTCGTTAAATCGAGGTTCCACTGTAGATATGCATTTAGTTGTAATTAAAGAGCAACCTGTTATTTAAGATATTTTCATATTTTTCGATATCTGTTCATCTTCATTTGATTGCCACTTGGATAAAAATTAAGATACGAGTAAATTCATATTAAAAATATTATTGTTATTATCAACATACCGTGGTACTATGTAAAATAGAAAAATTACATAACAGTCATTTTAGCTAGATTACGGGTGTGACCCTGTTAAAATCCTGCGGTTTAATCTATTTCATGTAGATTTCCTTGAATCCCAATAGTATGAAAGAAGCAAACGTCCGTTTTCGTCCAAATTTTTCTTTTTTTTTTTTTAATTTTGTCTCATCCTCTAAAGTTATGTTGTGTAGCTCACTGCCAGAACATGCATTTCCTAAACGCCAAGTTATGGCGTTAGTAAGATTATCTAGAGCCTAGCTATGTTAAAATGGTTTAATCAATTTATTTTTATCTGAGGAAAGCGAGATTTTCTAAATCAAGAAAAGGAGAAAGGGCAAACCAGGAATTGTAATAATCGAAAAGAAAATTTTGTTTGGAAAAGCTACAGGTATAAGAGGTCCTGCTTTCAATACTAGATTTTAACAACAGCATATAAATGTCAAAATATAGTAACTACAGAAACACACTGAAATATCAAATTTACATCAGTTTGAATCATGTTGAAGCTCCTAAATCAGTTTTTTTGCGTGTGTGTGTGTGTGTGTGTGTGTGTGTGTGTGTGTCATTGATAGGTGTATATACTGCATTTTGCAAACAATATAACATTTCGCTGTCGCCGGTAAAACTTGTCTGCGATATAACGTTCATCAATCTTGCGGGCACTTTTATCAAAAATGTCTTTTGATAATGCTTCTCAGTGTTGAAAAATCTTAAAGGTTATTTCTTTTGATAAAGTTATGAGGTTAAAAATTGATAAGAAAATTTAATTTATTTTAATTTATTCATTTTTTTTTTAACGATACTTCAAGGGTGTGAGAGTTAGATGAAGATCGCAGCTGTGTTCTTTGTATTCACACGAAAAACAATAGCACCCTAACTTAACTTGTAATCAGTATCTTGTGTTAATGAAAATTGAAGTTCTGCTACTATTGTTGTATTAGGTAATAAGATCCAAAATACAAATGAATCTTCTTGGAAAAAAGTTCACCACTCTTCTCTACCGACGTAAAGGTGGCTGTGTTATTTGGCGATTCAACTACCAGGACAAGGCCTGAAAAGTAAAAATTTTCAGGAAGCTTTTTCCACATACTCGCCTCTGCACGGCATAATACATAAGTGTATGAAACGAGTTTTGATTTTCGATATTGTCATCGGCTCAAAAAGCTTTTTCATACAGATTGAAATAGTTTCGAGCCTAAAATTTCGGAAAACACTTAGCAAACAATTGAGAATTTTAATCATTTTGATTAAGTCCTCTTAAATGGACTTAAGTAGTTCCCAACAGTTGGCTTCAAAGAGGCGGTGCTTGATTTTAATTAACACAACAAGAGAAACTGTATCATCGCAGCTGTCTTCTCTAAAGCAATGCTCGATTTCGTCAAAATTATCAATATGCTAAGAGATGGTCTTTTGATCAAAAAAGGGAAATTAACACACGCAGAGACATAAACACAACGAAACACACCCAATTCGTTAGTATCACTATTATGGCAGTACAAACGTCTGGATGCCCAGAGTAAAGATTAAAAGCTTAGGCTGGGCGGCAAACCGTAACCAGCCACAGCATCAACTTAAACTTATGACAACAATTACACAATAATTTACGCAAAGAAAGAAAAGCAAGCAAACCAACACACAAAAAAAAGAAAACCTGATTAAAAATGATTTGATAAGAGTGTAATAAAATTATATAAATAACTAAACAAAATAAAACTGTTCATAAGTTGAAAAACATCGTTCATATAGCTATCCATTTTCCTGTGGGAACCCTAAGATATGTAATAAAATCTCGAAAATGTACAAGATATAATTTCTGTCAAAATGGATGTCCAAAATTCATAAAGATTTCTAAACGCTCAGCTTGAACATTCTAGCAATGTGTAATGAACTAGACAGGATTGCCTTTTGCATTTGGTGCATAATTGATTCACACTTATCTCCTACAAGCTCTTTATTATTATTGTTAATATTATTATTTTTATTATAATTATTATTATCATTAAAGCCTATTTCCAAGCCAACTTGCGAAAGAGTAACTGTTTTTTTTTTTCGTGTTTGGGAACTACTTCTCTTTCTTTATTTGAAACTGTCCATAAACTGCTACGGAAATCACTGTTTCGAAAACCTGGTAAATAGCTTTCTTAACTACAAAACTACTTTCCTAATCGCTTAAACACTAATATAATCTATCGAGCGTGTCCTCCAGAAACACGCAACGATGAACCCGTATATATTTTAGGGCCACTAGTTACTCAGTTGAAGTACTGTCCCGTGTTACCCTCGTTAAATAAACGCTCGAAACATTTTCTTTATTTGCATAGCTCTGCTTCAACGATCAGCTTCAGTTGTTAGATCGGACGCGATTTGTAAACGTGAGAACATGTCAAATCCATTTCAGTTCTCTTTCCGCACTATGCATGTCTGTGAACTGAGCTGAAGTTGTTATGAAACTAAAAGATCTCTATTCCCTCCAAAATTAGTATTTCTATCGTTCGTAATCTTCAGTAATGCGCCCTGCGGGAACGCGTAACAACGTATTCCCTAAATTCAAATTTATTCCCCTCCATCTGTAAGATGCACCTGTAATTATTGCAAAAAATTAAAATTCGACATTTCTTACCCGCAAAACTTGTCACTCGGTTTGCCCCAATAAAAGGTTAGCTTCAGGACGTGATATGTGCGCTCTTTACAAGAACACGAAACAGTGTTATTTATATCTACAATTCTGTGTTTGTTTAGCTAAGAAAACACATCTAACATTCACTGCTGCCAGTGGATTCGTTCAAGTTAGCTTTTCTAAAGAGCAGTTACAAGTAACAAAGAACTTTGTCATTTTCGTCATTGACGGCTGTTAGCTAAAACAACCGACTCGGATGATTGGTCGTTTAGCAACGATTGCTCTTGGGATAACCAGTCATTTTGTTATTGTTAAAAACGTTTTAAAAATTTTCTTTTCCAATTTTGTGCCTCTAGGTTCCCTCAAATGATATTTTCCAAGGACAAAACTTTAATTTCAATATACCCAAAAGGAGCGAAACGCAGTACAGAGCATAAGCTGTATGTTTATATTCACTTAGGCGCCTAAAGTAAGTACGTCACCTTTTTAATTATCTTCTTTTACCATATACCAATTCCTTGCATAGCGCTGAAATCAGACTATTCGAATCATAAAATAGTTTCAATACGTAGGACTATTAATTTTTGGAGGGGGCTTCAAGATGTCTCTTTCAATTCGAATTCTAAGAAACATTTCATCTGAAGAATCGCTCAGGAATTAAAAAAAATATTTCTTTACTCTAGATTGTTCTTCCAGCCCTTCCTTTATTTGGTATTTCCTTTACATAAACGCATCTTTTCAATAGCTTATTTAGGGATCTCACCGCTCTTGAGATTGTCAAACTGTTTGCATTAGATTACAAAGTAAGTTTGCTTTTCTTATAAACTCTAAGTAATGTTGGCGTTTGACTACAAAAGATAAACCACCAACAAGTTGATAGGAAAAAATATATTAAAAAATGTAAAAGCCAAATGTTTTCAACACCAGATGATCATCAGGGTAAATTTTGATTACCTTCTGAGGCTAATGATGACCTTTAGCCGAGACTTTTTGGTTGTTACTTTGTAAGTACATTTTTGCCTTGTAACTAGCTCATTTCTCTTTTCAAGCTTAGCGAACTTTATGAGCAAAATATTCATAATTTTCGAACTGCTCCTTACTGGCTAAGCAAAACTTTTGTCATTAAAGTCATTAAGTCTCGCAAAAGCAGCTTGTTCATATTTCATAAGCAAGACTCCAAAATCTTAAAAAAACTTTTGATTACAATTGCGTGACAAGAACAATGATGTTCTTTCAAAATACGGTCATCGTATAACTTGCGTGAGTTCTCGCCTTGGGGTCAGAATATTGTTTCCAGCATATATTTGTGACGGTTCGACAATCGGTCATTGTGGTTTCTTTTTTTACTGTTTATTTTGATAATGAATGTAGAGACACGTACTTGTCAATCGATAAACCGCCATTAAAAATATCTCTTTCGTGATTTCGCACCCCCGCTATTTCGATAAAGGTCTGAATTCTCAATTATTCGATGGCCACCAAATTCTTTACCTTCAGCAGAGTGTGCGTCTACGTATTTACATTCGACAGAAAACATGGTGTTTCTGTTTCCTGAAATCATGCAGCCCTTGTGATATATTTAGGTTTGGTAGTAACCATCTGTTGCAAAAGGCGTCTGTATTAACTTGGCTATAATATTTAACAATTATTCCACGAGCGCACGTTGGATATGAGATGATAGATAGCCAACTCGGCGCTACGCGCCTCGTTGGCTATAATCATCTCATATCCAACAAACGCGAGTGGAATGATTGTTTTATTAAAAACGCTACATTAAATTATTAAATTTTATTACATTTTTAGCTCCCTTTCAATTTTAAGCTTATGGGTACGCTTACCATATCGTACTTTATGGTATATTGGCTCGTATACCATAATGGCTAAGCCAATGAAAAGTCTTGAAATGCATTATCCAATGATCAAGTTTTTAATAAATATATATATATAGTTTACAACAATTCCATCGCTAATCGTTTCTTAAGTATCGCTGCTCTACGATGTTTTTGCATTCCTCTTTACCGCTTATAAACCCACGAGTGACCAAGACAGAAATTTTCCCTACAACATCAATACACGAGAATAAAGAAGATTATCAATGATCACTTGGAAAATTATTAATTGATCCAGAACTAGATTCTCCAAACTAACATCATAAGAACTGTAACATTTTACCAGTAGCAATTTATTATACTCGTTTTATGATACAGCCTGTCATTATGTATACTTTATTTATGTTCTCGTTTTCATATATATAGTTTCTGGTGGCCTTTATCATTAGGGAAGTTTATTCCTGTTGCTAGGTCTTCCAACGGCTATTATATATATGTTTGTATGTACATATATTTGTTTGCTGTAAATTGATTAAATTTAATTGTTTGGCAGACAGTAAGGAGAGATTTACTACAATGACATCTTGGGAGTGAAAGAGTTAAAAATACCATTAAAAGCCCGTGACAAGTTCTTTTAGAGTTTTCAAACAAATCGCTCTGCTCAAATTTTCAATATTTAGTGGCTGATAACCTCTTTGAAAGCAGGTTAATCGGACAACGATAAGAAAAAAAACATTTACAGAGCCCAAAGGTCTAGCTCTAGGTGCTCTAAGCTGTACTTGTGAATCCGGCAGACGAAATTCACTGAGTTTTACAAGGAAATAAGAAAATCAATGCCCAACTCTCTTTGAACTTCAAAAAAATATTTTTCAAAAAAATCTTAGATGGCGTCACCCAATTATATTGTCCATCTCAGTGATAATTGGAACGGAAAAGCTAATGACCTACAAAGTCCAATATTTTCTTCGGCAGGGAAAAACATTTCTACAATAATACCGATCTACAGTGTTCATGGCACAGCCACCGTTAGCGGAATGTTTATTTGACACCTCATCAATATAGATTTTAACATAGTTGATACTGCTGACCGCACAATTGCATATCATTCCCACTGTCGTTATAGAAAGCTCCGCTGCATTTCATATATTGCCATGCAGATTTTTAAAAGAGCAGAAAATCAGTACGGTACAATATCATTGTCTTCCGAGGGAGAACAATTTATTTCAAAAGGGTATGTTCTGTAATGTCAACCATTCATCGTCACTTTCGTTTCTTCTGTAATACCAAGCATATTAAGAACTGCTTAATAGGGCAAGGTATAGCTCTGTGTAGCACGAAAGAAAAATCGATGCGAAAGCCGGTAACTTTGAATAATAATAAATCAAACCACTGCCATACTCATGCTGCCCATGGATTAAAATTTTTTAGGTCAGTTAGATCCAATTCAATATCATACTGGTCACGCAGTCTATGCCTTGATACAGATTTAGTCTCTGTACTTTTACGTTTTGCATATTTAATAGAAAATTGTTTCAAATTAGTAATAGACATAAATTAGGCAACGGATGTTGAGCGTGCCAAATAATCAGTTTTAAAACGTTTGATTTAAGAAATAAAGCAATTCAATTTATTTGTGAACAGTTCGAGTATCTATGTTCTTCGCCGAGCGATTTAAAACTGTCCGATCCAAGTTCAGCAACTTTCTCTTTTAATGTACTGTATTATGTTCAAAAATGATTTTTAAAAGCGAAGGTTTACCGTTTCAATGTTATCATCTTGAAGTGCAAATGTAGAAAATTTAAAAGCGATATACCATTTATTTTTGAGGCACAAAAATACCTTTCTATGGGTTTTCCAAAGAATACTGCAATAATACTGTTAAATCATAAGTAAGCGACACTAGGGCAGTTTTTGCCACTATAGTTAATTGAGTTTGCTATAACTTACGTTTGTCGTTAATATCACTTATTGTTGAAAACATACTTCAAAGGCGAACAAAAAATCTCAATTTACCGATATCTAACTGCAAGCTAACAATTATATAAACATACATCAATTAGCATAAAAAGCATATGATCTTGGTACCTGTGAACTGAAGTTATCCAGCAAGGCTAAGCTTTGTCGGCCCTTCAACAGCAGAAACTGTTTGCAAATACTTTACCGAACGACACCTTGATATAAATAGTTTGCGGTACCGATTTTGGATCCAATCAAAATAAGGGGTAACCTGTTTTTATTGTTATGTTTTGGCGTCATGAGAGAACACCCGCCGACGATATCTAAAACGGCGAATATGATGCGATCACAAATGACCTTGTAAACCATATCTGAAACAGTGATTTATAGATTAAATATTTTTGTACTGATATTATAAGGCTTAAATGCTCAAAAACAAGCTTTTTCTTGCAAGAAAACCCGAGTTGGTTTCATATATTATCAACGATTAAGTTGTATCGCAACAAACATCCATAAAAAAAACTCACTTTGATAATTTAAGATCATTTCTTTTTTTCTACACTTCGTTCATTTGAAATTTGGAGCTAAAGCCTGAAGTGTGGAGATCTGTTGATAGCTAAAAGTTAAAACATTCTCACAGAGCATTTCTCTTGAAAGTATTTTTCTCATGGCAAAGTATTCTTACAATATTGGAAGACAATCGAAAGTTCTAGCCGGCCGAGAAACAGGTGGGTCTAACACGCAAAACGGAAACTAACTGAAGTACTTTTGAGCATGGCGGTTCCTTACAATCTGATGATTCTCTCGTATAATAAAGGTAACTCTAAAATTTCCCATGCATTCAATACTCTTTCCGGTGACGGGGCCGTTTCATCTTTTCTTTTCTTTTCTTTTTTTTATTTTTGCTTTGGGTTAGGGACACTCTTCAAACTGAAAATGTCTGCAGATGGCATATGACAGATAAAATTTTGACATAGTAAAAATGTTGAGTGGTAGGCAGCCGGAAAAAAAAGAGATTGCGGCAACGACTTTACGGTTACATTTCCTGAAGCACTTGGGTATATTTGCTACTCTTACATATAGGGCGCCACATGAGAAGCATTCTTTAAAAAGAAGATACTGATGGCATTCAAGAAGGCATTATGATTTTTTAACTAAAAAGGAAATAACAACCATTGCGCAACCTTCTTCCCATGACACTGTTTCAAGAAAAAGACCAATTATCGACTCCATAAATGTAAGAATTGTTACAAGAAGCTTAGATCAGGCTAAGAGGACCAACAACAACGTAAAAAAAAAAAAAAAACCTAAGCTACCAGAAACCTTACTTTAACCATAAGTATTGATCAATCAAAACCTGAACGGTTGTTATCAAAAGGGAAGCTTCAAAAAACGGCTATTGTCTGAATGTTATTTTTTTCGCAATGAAAAGCAATTTATTTAAATCAGAGACTAAATGAAACATAAACAATGAAAATAAGAAATGACTGACAAAGGACAAAATTAAAATGTTGCAGACTGAAATTATTGAAGTTTACATGTCTCGTAACACCCTTAAGTGTGTTTGTTATCTGAACATGAGGGGTGTGCAAACATATGAGCCAACGCCGAATTGCATACCGACTTTAAAAACATTTTTGGCTAACACTTCACTCTTGGTTGCAATTCATTACCGATGGTTCTAAGATTGCCGCTTACATTGCATGTTTAAGGCTCATCTGCGCAATTTTTTGTTTGATTTTGATGAAAATGATTCAGGAATGCCTAGCTTTCTACGACAAAGGAAAGCAGTGAAAAAAGGTGGATTAAAATTTTATAAGGAGGTTACAATAGGTCTAATATGATTCATTAAGTTATGTGTAGCCTGCAAGCTTCCATGCATGCGGTTACATAAACTTCCGATCAATATAATTATTATTAACGCAAGAAGTCCTTAAAAACTTATCGATACCTTCATACCCCACAGAAACGTGCAGCATTCGGGATTTGAAAGCAAATAATCATAAAAATAGACTTAAAATGCCTGACTAATCAGCTATGCAAACTGGTCAAATGAGTGAAAACAAAATTATTGTGCATTACCTCAAATAGCTGATAGATAAATGCAAATTGATGGTCCTGATAAGAGAACNAACATTAAGGTTTCCATTTAAAAAAACAGACTCAGACAGGAGTAGAGTACATATGTCTTGTGCTTGTGAGTTTAGCTTGGAAAGTAAAAATAGACCGTGTTGAAAAATCATTGAAATATTAAAGTGTTCTTTGCCTTAGGCTAATAGCAGGCAATGAAATTTTCCCTCTGAAAGGAAGAAATTCTTAGCTAATTTAAATAGACAGAATCAAGGATAGAAATATTTCTAAAAAGGGGGTAAAAAGAAAAATCAAAGCAACAGAAAATATTTCCATTACTTTTGTTTGTCCAGCTCTAAAAAGGCTTGGGAAATATTAAGCTTTTTTTGTCATATGTATTTTCAAAATTATTAGAGGCGAGAAAGAAGTTGACAGGCGCGCATCGCGGGATCCTTAGAACACGAATGGACTTTCGTAAAAAAAAAATTACATCGCTTTATGTCAATAACACTTCTGCCTTTTCGTTAAATGGTTAAATACGTACGTTTAACACGCCGTTCTATTTATCTTTATGGACAGATCACGCATTTCATGTGACATGAAAGGAAGACAGCCATTATTTTCACGTCTTTGCTGTGAACAGTTCCTGAGAAAAGAGGCATTTTAGCAAGAGATAAAACACACACTTTCTTACGATTTAACACTTGCGAAATAAACAGTCTAAAAGCTTTAACTTTCCTGTTTATATCCAAGACCAAATAAAGAATTAATTTGTTTATTTTTGTCTAGAACTAAATATGAAACGTTTCTCCGTCTCTGATGATACCATACACTAGAAGTCACTCTACAACACACAGCGGAGTCTGCTCCAATTCAAGCTATTCTACTAACTCGGCTGTGCTTTAAAACAGTTGAAGATGCGTTCACTGCCTTTTGTTTTAACCCTTTTGTCATTAATACCATGCTCAGCGAGACCTCAGCAATCTGCTCAGCTGCGTTCCAAGCGCTCCCGTAAGTATACTGAGTGTTCTGCGGTAAAATTGCGAAAGTTTTATAGTTAAACAAAACGTTCTCCTTGTGTTAGCGTAGTTATTGTCCAAAGTTTTCGTGACATTTTACTAGTCGTTGTTATCGACAAGTTTAATTCTTAACCAGTGAGTGTCTTTTTCCATTTTCGGAAATGTATCTCTATGTTAATTCTGTATCAGAAGCAATAACAGCAATGGCAGTTGCATTTACAGTATTTGAAGTGGGATAGGCTATAACAAGCAACAAAATGTCTGTAAAGCTCCCAGAGAAACAAGAGTCAGGCGGATAAAGGCTGTTTCCATTTCTACTGATATTTCTATAATAAGCCAGTGTGTTTCGATTTTCTTCAGTTGCGTATCATTCATCACTGAATTTGGTCCATGAGGCATTGCGTAATACCTTCGTTAGATTGCATTGCCAGAGTAGTCTTCATGGGTGCTTAATACTAGCATAACTCGATGGAAATACAGGGAATGCTTAAAAATTAACACTAGACGCACGAGGAGCGTTCACTCGGGTTTCGTATCGAGCGTTTACCTGAGTATTCACAACGTGTAAAATTTAAACACGAGTACAATTATAATGTACAAACTTTGCATGACGAGATCTGAATTGTTGTACTTTTATTGACACTGTAATATCATTATGTTCATGTACATTAGTCATAATGAAAACTTTTTCTAGTTTTTTATGAACTTTTTCTAGATCACAGTCATCAAGAGTATTCATCATATCTTCTACTAAGCACATACAATTCTATGCGAAGAGCAAACCAACATTCACGATCGCTTGTAAAATAATAATAATCATTAATATGTACTAAATACCAAATCGTACTTTACAAGTTTTGAACCCAATAAAAACTAATAACAGAAACAGGATATTTAACGGGTGAGCTAAGCTTATATATTTAACCTTACTATTCAAGTTGCTTCCGCCAGTATCCTTATTCAATTCGCTGCAGTTAGCGCAACCTTCGAAGTTGTGTTCACGAACATTCTTGATTTTTTCAGCGAGTGAGGTGTTCGTCTCAGCATCGTAGTTTGTTGTTAAATCTGCCGTCACAGTTTGGCCAGTATTTTCGTAGTTTGAACTTACATATGGCTCATTTGTTATCTCGTAAGAACTAGTAGGAACTTTGCACATTCGGCTAGCTTTCAAGCTGTAGAGTTCGTGGACTGGCCAATTCCGAAAACGCTCGACATCATTTGGTGTGGGCCTACCTCGAACAGCGTGTGCGTTTGTATGTGAGACGAGCGTATAAGACAGAAATCTTTGCAAAGCGTTCTTCACAAAACACAGCAATCTGCAAACAATGCTGTTTACGAAGAGCGAGCACATGATAACACAAGTTGTCGCCCTCTCATCTCATCCCCAGTTTCCGCGGTTTACGAAAGGAACGCCTGGGACCATGACCCAGCTTTTGCCGACCAAGAACGGCTTGCATTTTAAGACTCGGGCTTCCGTAGAAAGCCCGAGTAATAAGTAGTGAAATCTGCTCGGGCGATCGATTTGCAAAGTTTCGAGAAGGTGGCGTGGCTGAGTGGTTAGGGTGCTGGACTTGTAATCCGGTG